TATTAACATTTAAATATAAAAAAAATTATCATACAAAATAAAAAAAGCATATAACTATTAAGGATTATTTCATAAAGTTTAATTTTTAAATTTTTTTTAATAAAATTTCAAACCTTGCCTCTACTTTAAATTTTTAAATGGCTCCCAAACTGGTAATTTTTTTCTAAATTCATTTAAAAATTACTTTAAAAGTAAATTTTTAAATCCTTCTCTAACAAAATTTTAAGATTGTGAAAGAAAAAAAAAAGCTTTTTAAAAAAAAGTTAAAGCTAACTATAGTCCTCATACTTTGTGAAAATGTTAATTACCATCTCTCTACTAAGAAAATATTCAATGTCATCCCTCTACTTTCGTTACAATATAAATGTCATCCCTTTACCATACTTTTTTTTGTTTAATGTCACTCTTAATTGGATGCCATCTACATTTCCATTAACTTTGACCATTAATTGCCTAAATGTCAAACATTTAACTTTTATTTATTAATTCTTTGTCCACTAACAGAATTTGTTACCTCCTTATTAAAGAGAAAATAAAATATTTATAAAACTAATTCTTAAAAATTAAAAATATAACAATTTAGCTCTAAAAGTTTAAAAATTAAAAAAATTAGAAATTAAAAATAATTAGTAGATAATTTTGTCACATATATGAGAACAGTATTAGATATCTATAATTAAATCGAGTGATTAGTTCATTCTAAAAAAAGAAATTTGATTAAGATTAAAAAAATTTTCTTAGTCATATTTTTCTAGTCTTTTGAATTTTCTATTTTAATTCAGCTAAGAAATTTTCTATAATCTTAATTAGAATTTTTTCTTCAAATTGAGCTAATCTCTTAATTTGATTACAAATATCTAATATAGTTCTAGTATATGTGAAAAAGTCACATTTTGATTTCTTTTAATTTACTAATTTTTTTTAATTTTTAAACTTTTAAAATTAAATTGTTATATTTTTAATCTTTAAAAATTGATCTTATAACTATTTTATTCTCATTTTAATAAAGAGTTACTAGATTCTGTTAATTTAAGGACTAAAACCAAAAAGAATAATACAGAACCAAAAAAAAAGGGAATCGATCCTACTGATTTCATTAGCTAGACAAAAAATCAATAAACAAAAGTTAAACTTTTGATTGTTGGGCAATTAACTGTCAAAGTTAACGTAAATATAGATGGCATCTAATTAAAGGTGATATTAAACAAAAACAAAAATGTAAGTAAAGGGATGACATTTATGCGGTAAGGAAAGTAGAGGGATGACATTGAACATTTCCCCAGTAGAGGGATGGTAATGAACATTTTCACAAAGTACGATAATTACAGTTTGCTTTAACCCCAAAAAAAAATGTAGTTTTTTTTTTTAAGCTTGGCTAAACCAGTGTTGTCAAAATCTAGATTTAAATCTTAAAATCTTATGATTTTACGATTTTAGTAAGGTATTTCGTATAAAATCTATACTAAAATATAAAATCAGGTAAAATCTCGATTTTACTGTGAAATCAAGTAAAATCTCGATTTTACCTACTGTTTGGTAGTTGGACTTTTTGCCTATTTCTTTTTGGGTTTTTTATCTTGGATTAGTGAGTTTTGACTAGATAATCCATAAATTAAGCTCATTTTTCATTTTAAAAGCCCACGACCCACACAACCCAACCACAAATCAACAT